AGTACACAAGTATTAACAGCTTCATGGAGTAAAAGTACACAAGTATTAACAGCTTCATGCAGTAAGAGTACACAAGTATTAACAGCTTCATGCAGTAAGAGTACACAAGTATTACCAGCTTCATGCAGTAAGAGTACACAAGTATTAACAGCTTCATGTAGTTTAAGTACACAAGTATTAACAGCTTCATGTAGTTTAAGTACACAAGTATTAACAGCTTCATGGAGTTTAAGTACACAAGTATTAACAGCTCCATGCAGTAAAAGTACACAAGTATTGACAGCTTCATGCAGTAAGAGTACACAAGTATTGACAGCTTCATGTAGCAACAGCAGTAAAAGTACTGCAATTCAAGTGAAAAGTCCTTCCTTCAGATCCTACTACAGTAAAAGTACAAACATTTCTTTAGCTTCATGTAGGTAAAGTACACAAATATTTCTCCATGCAATAGAAGTATCAGTATTATGTAGTTAAAGTATTAGCGGTCAGTGTGCTGCAGTATTGTAAAGTTCAGGTCAACATGTCCATGTGTCCAATACTTTTTACTTTATGACCTGCAGAACCTGAGCCGGACTCTTGTGTTTACAGATGATGAGCTAATGTTAGCATGCTAACACGCTATATAATTAGATGGTCAGCATGGTAAACATTTTATCTGCTTAATATTAGCATTAGCATTGTGAGCATGTTAGCACTGATTTTAAAGTTTAGGCTCATAGAGCTGCTGATTTAATGCTCCTTTTTAATTTCTGCATTTTATCATTGATGAACTACTGTAGTATGTTACATTACATTATATTACATTACATTACATTATATTACATTACATTACATTATATTATTTGGTCTAAAGGTCTCAGTGAAGTGTGATTTGAAACTGAAGTGACATGAATGAACAGATGAACCGTGTGTGCGATTAAAAAGCAACTTATTATCTCACATCTAACAAAGAGCGAGTGTATCTGAGAAACACAAAAACACACACACACACTTCTTGGCTCTGTCTTAAGACTCTGGAGAAGAGAGCGACTGGCACTGAAAGAAAGTGTGTGTTTGTTTATGTGTGTGTGAGTGTTTTATTTGTACTAATGAGGACAGTGAGGTGACGTGGTGATGGCCTGATGACTCCACACACACACACACACACACACACACACACAGCTGCTGATAAATATCTAATAAATATCTGTGTGTCAGCTGTTACACTGGAAAGACACTTATTTTGAGGTACTTGTACGTGACTCAAGTATTTCTGTTACTTTATACTTCGACTTCACCTCAGAGGGAA